TCTTCTTTCTCATTTAATTCTAAAGTTAATTTGTTCATTTTGGCACATTCTAGAACCTTCTAGAATGTGCCGGTTCTAAAAGCGCGCTTCCCTTGCTTTTGGTACATGATGGCAAAAAGGTTAGCCATCACTACTCTAGGATATTCTTTAGCTTTTGTTGATGATATAGGCCTTCCCCAATACATTTATCAATTAATATCTGAAAATTAACAGTCTTCACTGCAGGTATTGGCGCTGAGTTCCACAAGTATGGGATGAAGGAACCTATAGTCCTTCAGATACCAGTAGACATAAGGTAATTCCATCTCCAACCAGTATGGTCACTAATCATGAATGATTAGCATTCTGGTCCAAAGCTAATCCTCTGAGCTAGTTCTTCCACCTCTGACACAAGCAAACTATAGACAAACAAATAAATAAATCGTCTTTGTTGTAGGAAGAGTTGTGTGTTTCATTTTGTTACCAGTCAATTTCTTTGGAGATTATCAATTCTAGTTTGAAGACAAATGGAGAAAACATCTTTGTATTTTCATAATAATGATAGCTTTTTCTGTAATTCTGTGACCATCCTGGGAGGGCTTGGTCAGGCAATATATGTGAAATTCAAGGGCATTTTTTAAACAACCTTTGTTTTTAAATCCCCAGAATGTTGCTTACAAATTTAGGAAAGTTTCTGATCCTTTGACTTCACTACAGAAAAAGTTAACTTTCATTATAAAATAATGAAGAAATAAGTAACAACTAGAGTTTATCTGACAGGGAAAAAAAATCACACTTTGGCAGATGTCTTAGCTGTGTTGGACTATTTACAAGAACACAACACGGATCTGCAAATTGGGAAATTTCATCTAAAGCTTCCAGAAGCACACAGTAGCATTATCTGGGGCCAGGGAGTGAGTAGGAATTCCACATAGACCGTGCTGGGAGAATGGGTTGATAAAAGAGCTTAGATCCGATGCAGCCAAACAATGGGACTTTTACCCTTTTCTAAGCAAATGAAGTACAGAGTTTAGAAGGGTTTAAAAACAGCGCAGTTGCTAAAAGGTGTAAGCAGACTTCTCCTGTGAGTTAAAACAGGCTGCTGCAAATTCTTGTAGCCTTGCTGACAAGTCTTCTCCAGAGATTTGTGTGTGTGAAATCTGTATCTCAGGAATGAAATCCTCATTTAGCAGCAAGAGCATCATGTATGGAAGCCTTTCCAGCACTGTTTTCCACTTGCCATATGGCTAGCTTCACAGGCATTTATAGCAACCGATGAGCAATGCTGCAGCACTTTGAATGCATGTGAGAGAGAGCTGCAATGGAAGCCTCAGACAACAGATTGACCCTTCCAATAGCCTTGATTTGGTAAGTTGGCAAAAACACAGCTATTGTCTACACTGCAGCATAGCTGATTATTATTAGGGTTGGTTACACTCAGCCAGATGTTTAGACTGGATTTTTACCTACCTATCAAGACCTGGGGGTAGGCAGATGCTGTTATTCAGTGGTGTTAAAGGTATTGTCACAGGAGGTAAGCTCTTCCTAGTAAAACTGCCTTTTGCAATTATTATTATCATTATAGAATTGGTTACCAATGAGCTTATGTCAATGGATATGTGCAATACCTTTTCCTCCCATCTTGGTCATCCATCAGGCTACATAAGTCAGAATATGCGTTCAGAATTCTATCATTCTATAATGAGATTCTGGTTATAGCAAAGCTCTGTTACTTCAGAACTCAGATTTTTTTTACTTTTATATTGTAATTACACTCATGTGGGCATATATAACTTTGATTTTACTCATAACAATAAGTGTCTGTTTTTAGACATGGTTTATTGAATAAACCATGACTGCCTGAGTTGTTTCATATTATGCCAACATGCAGCATAGTTCACAAACCACAATGGCTCAGTTCACATGACAAACCCAACTAAAACCAAGTAAATTCTGGCTCGTAGCAATGTGGGAATGCAGTCTATTAGAAAAGAAGATTTTAGAATTTGTTTTAGGGGAATCTGTTCCACTGAGCTGTGTTCCATAATAACACATTCCCCCTTTGTTTGCCCACAGCCCTAGGGAGCTGTCCAAGTTCTATTGAAGCTCTTTCAGGTTTTCTCATTTTTCCTTTTTGGAACTATTTTGTTTCCAGGTGTCTTGTTCTTCTGTATTGTCATCCAGGAACATGTATAGACATGTTGAGAATATTTTCTCCCCCCCCCGCCCGCCCTTTCCCTTGAGATCCATCTCAATGCTTTCTTCTCATTTGTCCATCATTCTCCAAACTAACATGAAAAGTAGCATCTCTTTCCATTCCGTGTTGCCAAGCTCTAAACATGGAAGCCATGTTACCCAGGAAGAAACACACTGAAATCAGCATGACTTATTTTTTAATAGGCCAGGACACAGTTACGTTGTCAGTTTCCTAGTTAACTGAGAGGACCCACTATCAACTCAATCAACAATATCTCGTCTAGGTTAAAAATTCATAAAGTCCACCCTTGCTTTGAGTGGCAAATGCAAAAAAACAAAAAAATAGCTATCAGGACAAAGTGGGTGGGGTCAGCAGAAGAAATAAATTTGATTTAAATAATTGTAGATTTCATTACAGTAAATGACATTAATATACTTAGTATGACTCCCAATGTTCCAAATATTTCCTTTTCTCGCATTAAACACTAAGATTAATTTTGTATGTTAAGTTAATACACATACAGCACATTGCCTATATACAAATAGGTACCCCAAGGAATGGAAAATCTTCTCAAGCTTTTCTGTGTTCCTAGGCTGCCTCATCACTAGTACCAAAAATCAACAATGTTTGGGGTTTGGATTAGAAGATAGCCAAGGTCCCTTCCAAGTCTTTTATTCTGTTATTCTGGGGGTGGGGGACAGAAATGGAAGGACGTAGAAACTTGCAGTTCGGACTAAATACGTTGCAAGCTGCTGTCTGAGTCTAGCATGTTTTCTTAAATTACGTTCGGTCAAGCTAGCATGTGAACAGGAAAGAGTAGTTTAAAGGTCTAGTATAGACATTACCAGAGAAGTTTCCTCATTTGTTCATCTAAGCCTGTATTTGTATCTCATAAATGGAGATCTCGATATTAAAAGCTCGGGGGAGGGGGGGAGGGCTTGTTGGGCTCCCACCTAAATGTTAACCAGCTCTGGTCCTACTTTACTTTCTACTCTGGACAAGCCAAAGATCCAGTTCAACTGCCTTCAGACAAGAGCCTGTAGTACAGTGGACTAAACACTGTTATTAACATCTGCTGCTTGCAATTACTGCAAGTTCAAATCTCACCAGGCTCAAGGTTGACTCAGACTTCCATCCTTTCAAAGGTAGGTGAAATGAGGACCCAGATTGTGGGGGCAATAAGCTGACTTTGTATAAATATACAAAAGTATGAAGGCTATTGCTTAATGCATTGTAAGCCGCCCTGAGTCTCCGGAGAAGGGCGGCATATAAATTAAAGCAAAAAAAAAAAAAGGTAACATGTCCTTGATTCCCAAAATGTAGTATGAGAATTATTTTGTTGAATTGTTCCTGCTGAAGATGCCTTTTTTTTTCCTGACTGCCATGTGAATGGACTTTTAAAATAAAAAATCTAGTACTTGACCTATTTTTTTTTCTTCTCTCCCCTCATTATTTTTGCTAATTAAGGATACTGCCAATATTTGCATGGAAGCTTTCTTCCCCCTGTCCCCAGAACCTTTCCATCACCCCCTTCTTCACTTGATTTTTTTTTATGGGGAGAGTCATAATCCTATGTTTATTTCAGCACGTCCTCTTGGCAAAGAAATTATTGTAACATCACAGACTCAGTTCTAGGAGTTTACAGGCACATCAGGAGAAACAGAAAGCCAGCCCCAATTGCTAGAGTTTCGTAGCTTTTAACAGTGGTGTTGATACTCTCTCCTACATGAATGTCATACAAGCTAAAAGAGCTTTATTTAAAATTGGATTTTATTCAGGCATGCAATACATTTACTCAATGCTGCTTGCCAATGTCTCTAAGGCTGACTTTGGAAATACCAGCTTGAAGGCCTGATCTGTCTGTATAGGGCAGAATATATTACTAGAATATGGAAGTGGCCGGATGGATGAAGCTGTTCTGTATCACTTTTTTGCAAGTTACTTCTTGCCATTTATTTATTTATTTGCCACTCATCTTATCACAGGGTAACTCTGGGTGGCTTACAATCAGAAAGATAGATAGATAGATAGATAGATAGATAGATAGATAGATAGATAGATGATAGATAGATGTGTGTGTGTGTGTGTGTGTGTGTATACTAAAAACAAAATAAATTAATAGCAACAAATGCTAGGATCCAGTTACAGATGGGGAAGGTGGGGACTGGGTGGTGTGGAGGTGGGATCTGTTGTTAACCAATCAGCCACTGTGATGTTCCTCCATTGGGTCTCCAAGCTGACTGTTAAAGCCAGGTCTTTAGGCTTTTCGAGACCGCCTTCTACCACATAGCTCCCAGCGACCGGTAAGATCCCACAGAGTTGGTCTCCTCCGGGTCCCATCAGCTAAACAATGCCGGCTGGTGGACCCGTGGGGGAGGGCCTTCTCTGTGGCTGCCCCAGCTCTCTGGAACCAGTTACCTCCTGAGGTCTGGACCACCCCCACCCTATTGGCCTTCCGAAAAGCGGTGAAGACCTGGCTTTTCCGGCAGGCCTGGGGCCGTTGATCTCGCTGTTGTGATCTTGTGAGATCCGGCCATGAATGGTGTGAATGGGTTTTAATGTTTTAATGTTTAAATGTTTTTATAATGGTTTTCTAAATGCATTGTAAGCCGCCCTGAGTCTCCAGAGAAAGGCGGCATATAAATTGAACTAATAATAATAAAATAAAATAATAATTTTACGAAAAGTCAGGAGGATTGGGGCCAATCTCACCCTGGGGAGCAAAATGTTCCATGCACAACGATGGAGAAAGTTCTTTCTAGTATTGAAAAAGCCACAATAGACATCTCAGCCATATAACTAGTAAATATGAAGAGGACACATCAAAATTTTCAGACTTAATTTAGAAATGCTGAGAGAATCATATCCAGATTAGCCTTCATTTCCTTTCAATCATTTGATTAAAAAAGAAACCCACAGAACTTGCAGGGTTTGCTTTATGAATGTTTTCATCATAGCTACTCTGGAAAGCCTATATGTCACTAGTGCCTGGATGGTACGATGGTAAAACCTGCTTGGTTATAGCAACTAATATCTTCTGTCCACCAAAGACTTCAAGAATCATTCAGGGTACTTATTCCCTCATTGCTGTTTTCATTCCTTGAGCTTCTGAAGATATTTGAAAGCCATTTAACTGACCTGAAAGGAGAAAAAGAAGCAAATATCACTGATTTGAACTAGTGCAGCTATTACTGCTACATAAACCTTCTCCCTTCCCCTGCATTATGCTAAAAGAAAAGAAAATCATATGGCACTTTGTAGTCTCCTCAACTGAAAGGAAATTGACAAAACTCCCTTTTCTCCAGGCCATTGAAGGAGAGCTACAAAGCCCTCAAGCTACCATTCCCTTATAAGACCTGAAAGTGAGTTACAAGAATGAGAGATGAGGACAAATTTCAATGGGAAAATAGAGTAAGGTGACCAGACGTCCCGCTTTTGGCGGGACAGTCCCGCTTTTGAGCAATTTGTCCCGCGTCCCGCGGCGTTTCAAAAAAGTCCCGATTTTTCTTGAGCCCCAGCTGATGGCTAGAAGAAAAAAAAACTGTTTAAACTCTTGCCCGGGGCTTCAAAGGGCCGCCCTACAGGCAATCAGTGTAAAGCAGTTTTTTTTCCCCCTAGCTAAGCTTCAGAAACGAAACCGAAACCAGGGTCTTTGGTGCAGCGTGACAAAATGAGGCAGAGAGAGATTTATTTTTATTTTTATTTTTCCTCCCCCAAAAAGGTAGGTGAAAAACTGCAAACAATGGGAAATTTAGGAGGAGAGTTCAAGATTTTAAAACACAAAGGAAAAAAAGCTGTATTTAACTAGGGAATTGTAATAATTGAGATACTATTAATTGTATATTGTGTTGAAAGCAGAAATGGTTAAGTTGTGGTTCGGAGGAATATATGGGAGAAATTATTTGGTTTATTATTATTGGTAAATATAATTAATTGATTTGTAAGAAATTGGATTGCATGGAAATAATTGGAATATTCATGTTCATATTGATTAATATACAAAAAAGATAGTTTTATAACTAATTGATTTATATTAAAATGTTGAATTTGTATTAAACAACTGTATTACATAATTACATAATTAAACAATGTGAGGATGGATATAAAAATAGATGACAATGGGAAGGGGTATAATATAGAATAGAAGGGAAAAATTGAATTTGATTAAGATTAGAGATGAGGATGAAGGGTAATATTGGTTTTTTTAAAAAATAGATGAGGAATAAATATGGCAAAAAGGAAATATAGAAATTGTAAATTTAATTGAAATGACTAAACGCTGTTTAAATTTGTGAACCAGCCAAATATTCTGTTCAAAGAAAATACATTGTATGTTTGTATGTGTGTTTCTAATTATTGCTATTTATTCATATTTGTTCTCTTTTATTCTTTAAAGTTTAACAATTCATTCTTTATCTTAATATCTTTATATTTGCTTGGGGTTGGCTTTCTTCCCTTTCATCTTTTTTATTGTACAGCAATCTTTCTCCTCAAACCTACCACCTCTCTCTTTTCTTTCCTTCTTACTTTCTCTTCCCCCACCCTCTTTTTCTCCTCCCTACTTCCTCTTTCTTTCTCCTTCTCCTCCTCTCTTTCTCCCTCTCTTACCCTCACTCCTACTCTAATTTCCATTCCTTCATCCCTCTCTATTGCTGTAATCCTTTAATGCATATGGACTACTCAGAGGGCTGAAAAAGTTATTTTGGACTGGTCCTCACACTTTTGACCAGTCCTCGAACTTATGACTGTCCTCACATTTTACATTTTTGCCCTATCTTGTCACCATGTTGAAGAGAAGCAGTTGTGAAATGAGTGACATGGTTGTTAAGAATGCTGCACGGGCATAAATGTGAGGATGGTCATAAGTGTGAGGACCAGTCAAAAGTGCGAGGACCTGTCAGAAATGACTTTTTTCAGCCCTCTGGTTAGTCCTTTTGTGCATATGGACTACTCAGAGGGCTGAAAAAGTTATTTTTGACTGGTCCTCACACTTTTGACCAGTCCTCGAACTTATGACTGTCCTCACATTTTACATTTTTGCCCTATCTTGTCATCATGGTGAAGAGAAGCAGTTGTGAAATGAGTGACATGGTTGTTAAGAATGCTGCACGGGCATAAATGTGAGGATGGTCATAAGTGTGAGGACCAGTCAAAAGTGTGAGGACCTGTCAGAAATGACTTTTCAGCCCTCTGAGTAGTCCCTATACACATAGCCATGGCCACCCGGTCACATGACCAGGTAGCCACGCCCACCCAGTCACATGGCCTCCAAGCCATGCCCACACAATAAGCCACGCCCACAATGGTGTCCTTCTTACCAATGTTAAAATCTGTTCACCTTACCCTATAGACATAGCCATGGCCACCCGGTCACATGACCAGCTAGCCACGCCCACCCAGTCACATGACCAGCTAGCCACACCCACAAAATAAGCCCCGCCCACAATGTCCCTCTTTACCAATGTTAAAATCTGGTCACCTTAAAATAGAGCTATGGCATCTCAAAAGGAAAATTAAACCTGCAGTAGTTTCAAGTAAACCACAGCTGAGCTGGAAATAAGTCATCTCTGCTTTCCAGTAAATGCTGATATTTAAGAACACAGAAACTGAAAGCTTCTTTTAAAATCTGCAGGCCTTTGACTTCAGTGGTGGGTTCCTCCTGGTTCCGCCCGGTTCCGCTGAGCCGGTCGGTGATGATATGATATCTTCAAAGGGCCGCCCTACAGCTGATCAGTGTTAAAAGAAAACAAATGAGTAGACCGGTGCCTGCAAAAATAAATGGGTAGACCAGTGCCTGCAAAAATACATGACTAGACCGGTGCCTGCAAAAATAAATGGGTAGACCAGTGCCTGCAAAAATAAATGGGTAGATCGGTACAGCTCTGCAAGCAGTTAAAAGCCTGGTAGACCAGTACCTCTGCTAAATCCTAAATAATTGTCACATGACCATCAAGCCACACCCACAAAATAAGCCACACCCACAGAACTGGTAGTAAAAAAATTTAGAACCCACCCCTGTTTGACTTCCATAATCAGGCTTAATATATTGGAAGAATTTGTGAGTTTTTCTTAAACTGGTTTCCTACTGACAATGTTATAACTATTCTAGGATCATTTCATATTCCTTAAGGTACATTGTGAGACTTTTCTAGAGGAGAAGGAGTTTTGCATTGGCATAAATGTGAGGATGGTCATAAGTGTGAGGACCAGTCAAAAGTGTGAGGACCTGTCAGAAATGACTTTTCAGCCCTCTGAGTAGTCCCTATACACATAGCCATGGCCACCCGGTCACATGACCAGGTAGCCACGCCCACCCAGTCACATGGCCTCCAAGCCATGCCCACACAATAAGCCACGCCCACAATGGTGTCCTTCTTACCAATGTTAAAATCTGTTCACCTTACCCTATAGACATAGCCATGGCCACCCGGTCACATGACCAGCTAGCCACGCCCACCCAGTCACATGACCAGCTAGCCACACCCACAAAATAAGCCCCGCCCACAATGTCCCTCTTTACCAATGTTAAAATCTGGTCACCTTAAAATAGAGCTATGGCATCTCAAAAGGAAAATTAAACCTGCAGTAGTTTCAAGTAAACCACAGCTGAGCTGGAAATAAGTCATCTCTGCTTTCCAGTAAATGCTGATATTTAAGAACACAGAAACTGAAAGCTTCTTTTAAAATCTGCAGGCCTTTGACTTCAGTGGTGGGTTCCTCCTGGTTCCGCCCGGTTCCGCTGAGCCGGTAGCGGTGATGATATGATATCTTCAAAGGGCCGCCCTACAGCTGATCAGTGTTAAAAGAAAACAAATGAGTAGACCGGTGCCTGCAAAAATAAATGGGTAGACCAGTGCCTGCAAAAATACATGACTAGACCGGTGCCTGCAAAAATAAATGGGTAGACCAGTGCCTGCAAAAATAAATGGGTAGATCGGTACAGCTCTGCAAGCAGTTAAAAGCCTGGTAGACCAGTACCTCTGCTAAATCCTAAATAATTGTCACATGACCATCAAGCCACACCCACAAAATAAGCCACACCCACAGAACTGGTAGTAAAAAAATTTAGAACCCACCCCTGTTTGACTTCCATAATCAGGCTTAATATATTGGAAGAATTTGTGAGTTTTTCTTAAACTGGTTTCCTACTGACAATGTTATAACTATTCTAGGATCATTTCATATTCCTTAAGGTACATTGTGAGACTTTTCTAGAGGAGAAGGAGTTTTGCATTTCCCTTTTTGACAGAGGCATGTTTGATTATGTATTTGTACTAAATTCCAACTTTTCTGATTATTTGGAAGGGTTTGTGTTGCAAAACACTTTGTGCATGCTGTCCTTCTGAGAAGCAAATTTATTAAAATGATTTCCTCCAAAGGCCCTTTTTTGAGTAAACATGTTTCTAAGCTAAACATATTACTAAATTTTAATTTTCTGAGTGTTATGGAGATGGTGAATGAACATTCCCATCTCTCTTGGACCAAGTTCCTAGATGCTTCTTTGTCCATTTTTCATAATACTTTAGGGTTCTTGAGCTACCCTAACAATTTTGAAAACCTGTAACACAGCAAGCAAAACAATCCATGGACAATTTCTGTAATCAGTCAAGAATGGATTCATTTAGAAAAGCAAAGAGGGAGAGAGGCAAGAAGTGTCTTCAGTAATTTCAGTCAACATACCCAACGGCTCCAAATATGCTTGAAAAATCACATCTCATGTCAGATCTTGCTGGGGTGGATTATCCCTGAAGACTTGAATTTGCCTCCAAAACTAACATTAGCAGCTGCATGCTTTAGGTTAACCCTTCACCTTCCTCACAGCTGCTTTCATTTGGCCCTGAGTCAAATCTTTTAAAGGAGGGTTGATTAATTTCGGAACAGAAGACAAGAGAGCTGGAGGATAGATAATATACCCTGCAAAACATCCACACAGAAGCTTGTCCTTCCATAGGACACTCATTGGAATATCCCAAGGCATGCTGCATAGTTTTATTCCGAATTGACAATATTGTAGGCAGTGCTACATGTACATGAGCCAGGGTGGCACAGTGGTTAAAATGCAGCACTGCAGGACTAACTCACTGCTCACTCCAGGAGTTTGATTCTGAGTGGCTCCAGATTGACTCAGCCTTCCACCC